AAACAAGTATCAAAAAGGCTCAAGGAGACACAAAGCGTGGAGCAGACCCAAAGCACAAGGAAGGGGCCTCGCTCTCATCCGATCCACACTCCAGGGCCCAGCAGAGTCCTGGCACCGCACGGGTGCTCAACATCTATTTGATTTGTCAAGTACCGGCTAAGCGTCAGGCATTGAACTAGGCGTGAAAAATACACAGATGTGTAAAACACCATCTCTAAGGTCAAGAAGCTCACACGGGCTGAACTGCTGTGGAAAGTTTCAAGACAGAGATGAGCCTTGGAGAAGAGAACACGCAGCAGGAGTAGAGGAGGCAGGAAGAATGGGAACAAAGGCACCCGCGCAGGAGGAAGAACACGACTGCGGATGGTGACAGGGTGTGAGCGGGAGCCCAGAGGCTTGGCCTCCGAAAGCAGAGAATTTACATGGGAAGGAGCAAGATCAAAGGCTGACGGACTCAAGGAAACCTCTTTAAGGACTTGGAAGGTTCATACACGAAACAACCAGCTAACACTGGTTAAATTCTGAGAACGGACCTCATAGAAGGTAATCTGAGTCGTGCAAACAAGCTAGTTGGCTCATAGCTGAGCAGTTTATTACGAGGATCATTAAGGAACTACTCCACTGCCTGCCATTCTCTGCGATTACCATAATCTTTCCCAGCCATTTTTATTGTCAATATAGGCCTTTGGGAAGTACGTAAAATTTATAATATGGCAGGCATTAGGAAAAACAAAGTGAGCTATATTAGGCATTTTCTTAGGTTTTCTTAATAGCCGTGATTGAATATGACAGCTCCTTTAACTAATGGTCCTGCCGACTGTGTAAATCAGAGGCAGAAGTTGTTATTAAAGAATACCCAGGTGGATGGGGAAGGGGACTGGAAAAAATGTCCTACACAGGCCCGGGGAAGCCAGCTAACATAATATAGGGCGTGGGGGGGCAGCTGCATTTCCAGTAATTTTCTTATGATGAAACTGTCTAATGAGTATAATTTTATTCCCCCGTTGCAGATCGAAGCCTTTAGAACCTATTACAAAGAAACGTGTTCAGGTGGAAGTCTTGCAGTATATAGTATACATAAGAATAAATAGTTTGGGGCACACATGGTTGAGATTCTTCCCCTTCAGTAGTTCTGTGTTCACAAAATAAGAAATAAATGCCTCACAAGATGACCCTGAGAATCCTGAAGAGCAGTAGAAAGTCTAAACATAAACCCAGCCAGGCATTTTCAGAGCCTCCAACTGCCATCCTTTTGCCAGCCTGATGCCACTGAAAACAGGTACAGGATTTAGGGTCAGGTAGCTCTGGACTCAGACCCCACCTCTTCTACTAATTATCTGTGTGGTCCTGCACACTTTGCCTAACCTCTCTGAACCTTCGGGTGCCTACATTATAAAACCAGAGTCAGGATACTTTCCACGCACAGAGCTGTTGTGAGGATGAGATAAAATTCACAAGACCGTGTATGTGAACTGTTCAGCACAACGCTTTGTAGCACAAGCTAATAAGCGTATGACATCAGTATCAGTATTGCTGCTGATAAATCTCTCGTTGCCATTGTCAGTTTACTGAACTAAGAATATGCTGGATTTAACCAGAAGACCTGTGTCCTGGATTAGCTGCTAGTAAGAACCTCTACTTCTTCATCAATAAGTGACAATACTATATACACAACATATATATAGTTGTATATATGTATATACAACATATACAATATAATGACAATAACGTCTGTTTTGCCTAAATCACAAGATTACGGGAAACTTTAAAGGTAATGTATCTGAAAACTATAAACTGTCAAACAAATTAAGGTATCCACCCTAGAGTATGTTCCCAGATGAAAGATGCTCAAGTGTTAAGGTCATTTGCGTCCGTTTAATGCACCATGAATATAGTACTAATCACTCCACTAGCACCAAAAGAGGGAATATATTTACAGCATAACAGTTTTTTGTTTGTTTGTTTGTTTGTTTTGCGGTATGCGGGCCTCCTGACTGTTGTGGTCCCTCTCGTTGCGGAGCAGAGGCTCCAGACGCGCAGGCTCAGCGGCCATGGCTCATGGGCCCAGCCGCTCCGCGGCATGTGGGATCTCCCCGGACTGGGGCACGAACCCGTGTGCCCTGAATCGGCAGGCGGACTCTCAACCACTGCGCCACCAGGGAAGCCCACAGCATAACAGTTTGTCAGTAATGGCGACCTAATGTGAATCTGACTCTTTAAACTTATATTAACATGCAATCGTACTACCATGAAGATGAATCCTATAAACATTTAGTAGTATATAATGCACTCGAATTCATAACTTGACCCTCTACTAAGAAAATGTGAACATAAATAGACTATTTCCACTACTAAATCACGGAGACTTAAAATTTACTAATAATAACTCCCTCTCCAAAGATTAACATGAGAACAAACATGCTTTTTAAAACTAAACACAAAACTGGGATGCAGTTAAGGAAAATACAAAATTCCCTGAACTTTTGGGCAGCACCTAATTGATTTTGTAAGAAGGTCAAGAGATAATTTTATATTTTGCACTGGAATTGCAAGAAGCCTGGAGATGCTAAGGTGACAGTGTTGCTTGTATAAGAAGTTAGAGCAGGCCTGTCCAGGGCTCGGTGACCATGGATGCACTGGACGCCAGAGGAAATTAAAACCCTGATTTTCACTAATTTCACCCCCTTGTCTATCCTTGGACACGTGCCAACCACAAATTATTTTTCCTCAGCATGTAGAAGAGGAGAGATGGGATTTAAACATTCTCCTCCACCTGTACACGGTATCTTGTGATTTTGAGAGCAAAGGTTTGGGTTAGAGGAGAGGCAGCCTCAGGAGATTACCACAAGTAAACTGTGAGAAGAGTTGAAATAAATTTTAGCTGCTCATCATTAGCCTACATATTCTTGTCGATTTCCTTGTTCTCTTTTTTTCCTTGAGCTGGAATTCGGCACGGTGAACAGGAGGTCATGGGGAAGGAAGCAGGTCAAAGTGAGTACTACTGCCAAGACCACTTGACCCGAACATCATTTTGTTGTGACGACTGGTTTAAAAAAAAAGAGGATGGGGATTGGAGTGCAAGAATGGCTTTGGTCTTCGGATGTGAAAGAAAAAGAAGGCTTAACAATTCGAGATGTGGACCGTGAGACTCCCCCTCTTCCGCGCAGCCGCTCACACAGCTCTGTGCATTCATGAAACAGGATCTGACAGAATAGGATCATGTGTAATTGTTTTGCTTGGTTATCAACTAACATTCTCTGCTTTTTCTATCTGTAGTAATTATGCTTATTTGACACATTTCAGTGCAAAAACCCCTCAAAACGGTAAAGCACACAACAATGTATTGAAAGGTGAGTTAGGGACGGGGGAGCCGTACACCTGTGCTAAAGAGAAAGGCCGGGCTCACCTCCGAGAGAACACGACAGAGTCATCGTTTTTTAAAACAGTTCAAAGAGCTGTTTATTCTCTCTGACTTTTGACATTAAGGATGAATGTCTAAAATGTTTACAAGAGAGGCTGAGTTTTTATTTGGGGGGAAGAAAGATAACAGAACAAAAAGAGTAACAGCAAATGGATGCACTGGTCTCTGGAATAAACAAGTGCTGTTCCCTGGAAAACAGTTTTAAAAAAAAAAAGAAAAAACTCCCTCAACTAGGAAATGGAAAAGCTGTTCGAGCTCTCAGCCACTTGAAGTTGTAAATGGTGTGGGTGTGAAAAGCAGTAAAGAAAAACTAGACCCCGTACAGTTCCGGCAAGAGGAGTGGCTGTACAGCAAAGGAGAAAACGCAAGATAACATGCGGCAGAGAGGCTGCGTGGTACCCGGAGGAAGAGGATGGGGCGTGCGCTGCGGAGGGTGACGGGCGGCCCCGTGCACAGCGACCACGATCAAAATCAGCTGCTTAACGAAAATGCAACGTTGCCTAGATGCTCTATGAAAAGAACAAAATGCACAGTCCAGGATGTAAGCTCCACGTGAAAAGTGTGTCCTAGGAGCCAAACTCTCCCAGTGAACAGGCCTTAGCAGTAAAGGAGCATCCACGCTGGGACTGAAGGGTGAAAGGGCAGAAAGGGGTTCCTGGAAAGTCTGCCCTCGCATAGAGGCGCGCACATTCCTCTCCCACGTGCTGAACGGGAAGGGCAGGGCTGGGCGAGGGCTGTGGGGGGCCAGGGGTGGGTGATGGTGGTCCGGAGAACCAGCAGCCCCTCCCATAGCAGCTCCTCGAAAGCTCAACCTTGAATGCCAGCGCCTTCTGCCTGCAGCGGGGCCTGAAAAACACCCACTTCTCACCTCTGCCGAGCCTTTCATGGCTCCGTCTCTGTCTGGTCTCCAGTTGTTTACTTGTAATTAGATTCTCCTGTGTTTATAATTCCCAGCATGGAGGATGAAACTTTTATCTTAAAATGTTATTTATTTACTCATTTAGGTTAAAAAAGAGCAAATAAGGTTGCATCTGTAGCTTCTAAGAAAATGATTATAAGTAAATAAAAATTGAGAACTGATCCTTAAAGTCGTAAGTTTACATTTAGGAACAAAAGGATGATGTGCCATCGATAAATCAAAACAGGAACTATTCAGAGTAAGGAAATCGTATCTGAGGGACTTTTGGATTAAAGATGACAAGTACCAGGTGAGCGAGGGGATCCTGATGGGACCAAGAGGATGTGAACACTGGGCCACGTGCCCAGAGAGATGCCACCTGTGAGATGACTCCAGAGATACAGGGAGTCTTACAGAATTTACACGTGAGATTTGCTTTTTGTTGCCTACATATAATATCTACACTTAGAGGTAAATTCAAATTTTTGAGAATGAAGTAAGAAAAAATATTTTTAAAATAAATGTCAAGGCTTAGATGAATTCTATGAGCCAGTGAACACAATAATATACAGAATAAAGACAGATTTTGAAGAAACACAAGAAACTATTATTACCTACAAGTTTGTTCTTTTCTGTTCTACATGCTTTGCTCTCTGGTTCACATTTTCAGAAGTTCCTTACCTGGACTGGCTCTTCACCTTTTCATGTTTTCCATTGAAGTTCAAACTACAGAGGTTTTTTGATTTTGAATGTGTAGAGTCTGAGTCCACATTTGCCTGTGTTTGTTCTCGCAGACGATCGTGAAGCGTTGCCTCCTTTTTCAAGTTCATGTCCGAATATGGGCAGCCAAAGGCACTGGTTTGTATAAAAATGAGAGCACAGGCGTCAGTTTAGGGTGATACATCAGGGCCGTACTGTCATTGGAACAGACGTACATCCACTATTGAAAAGCTGAATAGAGACATTCTCCTTTCACTGAACACACTCAGGTTAAGTTTCTTTTCATGTTGTCCTTTGCGAAGATCTCAGGTGCCAGACCATAGACACCGGTCAGCAGACATTACAGGTACAGTCATCAGCAATACGGTTTTCACAATCTAAAAAACTTAAAAATCTAAGGGACTTCCCTGGTAGTCCAGTGGTTAAGACTCTGCGCTTCCAACGCAGAGGGCTTGGGTTCCCTGGTCGGGGAACTAAGATCCCATATGCCATGAGGCCAAAAAAAAAAAACTTAAAAATCTAAGAATAATCTAAAGGTGTACATCCAATGGAGCAGCGAAAATGTCATGTAAACACCTAACTCAGTTTGTATCCTCCAATATTGAAGCCCTAATTTGACCACCTGTATCACAAAATACTATGGGGTAACTAAACATCTTTACCAGTAATCAGAGAATATCATGCTTTTACTTCTTATCATTCATGTACCCAGAAATACTGTATCTGGATGACTGCTTCATCCTCCTGAAACCAGCTAGGAAGTTTTGTGTTTGAACGTGAAGGGCCAGTTGTGGGTGAAAGAGGAGAGACCACAGTCAAGGCTGAATCCTGACTCCAGGATGTGTTAGGAGGCTGACAGCAGGCTCAGGGCAGAGGCTCTGGCCCCTGCCACAGGTGATCGGTTGTCTCTGTGCCCACGTTCCTGTCCCCAGAGGCCCCCAATCTCTGTGCTGCCGGGAACGAGGCAGATGCTGTCAGGGGCCAACCAGGCAAGACGGTTCCCCGCCCACAACCGAGGGAGCTGGTCCACCGAGCTCCAGTTCCCCTCCAGTGAAATGGGAAAATCAGATCCAGCTCCTACGGGCTGTTGTGACCACGAGGAATCACGCGCGCGCGCACACACACACACACACACACACACACACACACACTCTACTGGTAGCTGCTCTCATTATGACAGTGCTGCCATCCTTTACATTTGGGGAGCACAGACTCAGATGCATCAGTATCTTGGCAGTTGGCTCTTTTTTTAGGAACTCACTTGCTGCTTACTATAAATTTGCTGGTATACGGTGCATAATAAATCCTTTCTGATATGTGAAAGTTTGCTTTTGCTATTTTAAAGTCATGATAAAATCAGGGAGCAATGCAGTTTTCCTCTGTTTTACAGCAGATTTGAGTTTTCCAGGGAGCACTTATACACAGTCTAACCTCAGAGGACTTTAGTACCAACCTGTATCTAGAACGGGCCTTCTGGACTTTGGGATGGGGTGGTTCTGATAACACCAGCCTTGCCCAATATGCCAGGGTGGACCTGTACTTTGCCAGACAGGGGCGCCCCTGTGAATGCATGTTCTGTAGTTAATATTAATTGGCACTACTTCTTAGTTTATTCCGTTATTGATTCAACAACCCACTAACTGAGCATGTGCTACATGCTAAGCACTTTGGAGAATATAAATCTAGTGAAGAAGTTGGGATATATACCAATAAATACAATTTATAATAAGAACAAAAGCTACCCCTATTGAGTGTTTACATGGACCCATTGCAATACAAGGTGTTTTACGTATATTATCTCTAATATTTAGTACTAAATACCCAAAGATGGTATTGACATATTTTTTTTCTAGGTTAGAAAACAGGCTCACACAGGATAAGCAATTTCCCAAAGTTACCTGGCACCTTCTTGGGAAACCCCAAAATAAATCACTTAATTATTAGCATCAATCACGTGGGCAGAAGTGGGAAAACATTTTTAGCACCATCAAAGAAAAGGAATGTAATTTTTGTGCAAAGTGTAGCCAAGGCAAGCATTCACAGGGAAAGCAGTACAGGGTTTGCCACGGTTAATGTCCAGGGGAAAATAAGTCAGCCCATGCTGGGTCCTGGGTGAGAAGTGCAGAGGTGATAAAGCAGTTTCCAGCAGGACCAATTGGTTTAGGCTGCAGCATATGAGATTTAAGGGAGATTTTTAGAAAGAACTTTCCGCAGATGAAAATTGAAAGGCATTAGGCTAACCTAAGGGAGATGGGGAAATGTTTATTTTAAGCACAGCTGAGTTTTCATGAAGACACCATTACTCAGAAGCTTTGCTATCCATCTAATACATACTCCCAATTTGAGATTTTTTAATGATCATTACGGTCATGAATTTTCTAAATTGCATGTAATTACCCCACATGACTAGTACCGCATGACACTCATGCTGTCTCTTCCTCAGGCTTATGTATCCAGGATTGTAGAAGCTACCATTCATCCTCTTGTTCAGTACTTGCTTACGTTGAGAGAAATTTTGTTTCCCTTAATCTTCATTCATTAATCAATCTTTTTACTCATTTAAACATTCATTTATTTCCTAATCCCATTCTAGCTCTTCTTTGTCTCTCAGGTACTCAGGCATGCAAAACTAAATGCAATGCCTCGGAGCATCAGTAGAATGGAATATTTCTCGATTGTGGGAGGTGACGCATATGAGAAAGTATCTCAGGATTATACAGATCAGAAAAAAAGCATGAAGTTCAAAAGAATATACTGGGTTGGCTAAAAAGTTCGTTTCAGTTTTTCCGTAACATCCAAAACGAACTTTTTGGCCCACCCCATATTAAATGACAAAAGAATACTTTGCAGAAGATGCTGGTGGAGAACCTGAAAGAAGATAATGATGGGAGACAAAGGGAAGGTACGAAAGGAACAGGATGAGGGGGCTTTTGGTTGCATTGTCTGCACCATTTTCAACCTGGGCTCTGCTGTGAACAAGCTTCTGGATTGCAACACTGTGCTTACTTGTGTTCAATGCAGAGAAATATTTATGTTAAAGAGATGACATCCCAAATGTCAGCCTGCCCTCCTGCACATGTAGACCCTCACTCATGCGCGCGCGCGCGTGCGCGTGTGTGTGTACGTGTGTGTTTGGAAGAACATACATGACTGCATAAATCTGTACACATAGGAAAAATCTGATTGAAGTGGTTGTCCTAGGTGTGATACAGCTACTTAACGCTTACTTTTGATTTAGCCAAATACTGGGGGAAAAGGTTCTGAAGACACAGTCTTTTTAGAAAATTGCTGACATAAGCTGAAATTTCTGTGACTTAAGGCTATGTTGGTCAAGGTAAAATGATAGCTTCTGACGGATAGGTAAGTGGCATATTCAAATTTAAGCTCATAACGGACCAAGATAAGGGGGCATGAAAACCCAGGCCAGGAGGGAAGGCCTGAGAGGGCGTCCTGGGGGAGGCGGGGTTCTTCTGATGCAGCAGACCAGCTCCCCATCCCTCCTTAATTCAACATGTGTTTGCTGCCGGCAGGAAAAGAAGGAAGAGAGAGCAGGAACTATATAGTTTTTAAAAGTCAGAGACAGTAGGATATTGGGAATTTTATACAGTTCAACCAAATAATTTATAAAATATGTCAGGCCCAAGTTCATCAGCAAGACAGATGAATAGAGGTTGAATGCTAAATAAGCAAAAAACTGCTAGGCAGCTGCAGACAAACTTTAAGAGAGATTTCTGGAGAGAGCTAAAAACTGAGATCCTAGTAGCCCTCTTGATAAATAGAAGGAAACATAAAAATGGCTGCCATTAAAAATACTAGTTTTGCTTTTCAGAATATTTAAGTAGAATTTTTAACATCTGAGGAGAAAGAGAAAAATAAGGACGCAGCAGCGTCCTTGGGGGCTCCCCTGCTGGTTGTAATGGGGCAGGGGGTGGGGAGGGGGCGCTGGAGTGGCTGGCACTGAATCACGGCAGGTGGTGTCACGCCCGGGAGGGTCCTCAGCCTCTCAATTCTCCTTCCTTCCACAGCAGGGGCACCTGATTCCACAGGTCGGTGCAGTTTCCTCGTATTCTCAGGACCGGTCCTGATCCGAGGGACAGAGGCCCTACGTTCCTACTTGGTACTTGCCAGGCCATCTCCTACTAGGAGGCCCTCTGCCTCCTAATCCCAACCCAGGCAGCCAGGCCCCCACTTCCCCGATACCAGCTGGCCAGTCGCCTATGTGCTTCTCCCCCTGAATTATTCTCTCCTACTGTGCTTTACCCACTGGCTGGGATCCCACCTTCATTTTGGATTCTTCCCGTGCAGCTCCAATTCCAAGAGTCTAGATAGCACCTGCTGATTTCCAAACCCCTTGGACTCCAGGCTCTGCACATCCAACCATATGATCATCTTGTATCTACAATGTTTTCATCTTCTCATACCCAAGCAGCAAGTGTGGTTCCTGCTTGTCTCTGACTACCTTGTTTTGCTGAAAATAATGGGCCATGATCTGTCAAATCCTGGGAGATGGACAGTCTGGACCATGAGGTTATAACTAAGCTGTCACCACACACCTAATTGGTAGCTTCCCAACCCCTGTGCAGCTACACCCTCAGGGTGGCCAGAGGGGCCTCAGGCACCAGAGTCCTTCCAGCCAGAGCGGCCTCCTCCAGACTCTGAATTCCCAAGTACTGATTAGCATTTTCTCTCTGTGACATGATGTTATAAGGGTAGGGAGGAGTTACAAATTTAAGCAAAATGGCAAAGATGAAAGAGCCCCTTGGGTGCTGTACTTCAAAACATAAATAAAAACACAGAGGTCAGCAATATTTCAGGAAGAGTGTCAGGTCACTGACAACATTTTTCCTGATCCAGAAAAGTGAAGTCATCCCAAAAAGGCAAGTAGCTCCCAGGAGGAGCCCTGATCTAGGAATATGACCTCATGTAGCCCAGGAATTAGGGATGTAGTTAAACTGTAAAGAGTTCTCTAATGCAACTAAGCCACCCCTCCAGGAAGCCCACTGCCTTTTGTATTTTAATCTCAATCATTTTATTATCCAGTTATATTCTTTTCTTTCTAAGACCTAAATAAGACAACATATCTGAGCTGGGAGGTTACATGCTAAAGTCTCTTCGCTTAGGTTCAAAACGTAAGA